TTACTGGTCTTTTGCTTATCTATTATGGTTTCTGATTTTGTGTTTTTATGGATTTTCTGTGTGCATGTGTCTCTCTGCATGTGTATGTATGTCGAGTGTGCTTTTTCTTTTTCTTTTTTTTCTGTTTCCTTTGTTCTGTGGATTTTGTTTGTTTATTTGTTTTAAACTTTACTGTTTCTTTTCTAAAGAGAGAGAGAAAGAAAGCATGAAGTTGGATGGGTGGGAAGGTGGGGAGGATCTCTGAGGAGGTGAGGGAGGGGAAACCATGATAAGAATATATTATATGAAAAAAATCTATTTTCAATTTTAAAAAAAAGGAAGTTCTTGAAACAGAAATGAGATGATGTTGAGGCAAGCACAGGAAGAGTAAAAGATGTAAAATACAGTTCTGTCTTTTTGAATTTTCTGATTATATTTGATGGTTGAAACAGAAATTGTTCCACTGTTCTTGTTTTGATTGTATGTCTGGCAGTTATGAACGAGGGACCTAAAGAGCAGAAACTGAGGTGTTCTATGTGTTGCATTTTAACTGGTAATAGTGACTTCCTAAAGTAATTCAGTTATTTCTTAAAAACCTGAATATACACCAGGACACCTTTAATCTTGACACTTCAGAGTCAGAAGCAGATGGATTTCTATGAGTACAAGGCCAGCCTAGTCTACATAGCGAGTTCCAGGCAAGCCAGGATTACATAGTGAGACTCTGTCTCAAGAAAACGAACAAGCTGAATACATACTGACCATATGACCCAACAGTTATATTCATGGGTGTTTATGCCATAGATGTAAAAATGTATGTCCACACAAAAGTATCTATACAAATGTTCAAAGCTATTTTATTGGTCTTAATCAAAATTTGGAGACAAGAAGTATGCCATATATTAGGCAAATAAATGGTTAAGCAAACTGTAGTACTTCATGTCATAGAGTACCATCAGGATTAAAAAGCCAGCTGTTGATGCATGCAGCGTTTGGGCTGGACCTCAGGGCCGTAATGTCAGGTTCAAGATGGTGGAAAGTTGGGCATGGAGAGAAAGCAGTACAGGAGGGAGGGCTTTGTGGTGCTGTAATGGTTTTATGGGGTTTGTTTTTGTAGTACCTAGGATCAGACTTGGGGCCTGGTGCATGCTAGGCAAGAATTATACCACTGAGTCCAACTTACACAGGATGGTGGGGAATGAAGAAATAACAGGCACAGAGAAAAGCTGGGGTTGGGTAAGCCACGTGCTCTGATGGAGATGCACCAGCAGCAGCCTGGAAACTCAGTGCATTTATTAAATATAGCACAAAAGAGGAGGAGGCATCTGCACACATGTCAGGGTGGGTGTGGGTGCTGTAGTTAGCTGATGTTGATAGGCAGTCTCTGTAGGGGAGCAGTCTCAGGTCACAGTCATCCAAAAGGAAGCTGCATTGATAGTTTCTGCTCAGATACTGGTCTTAGCTAATGATCAACCATTCATTAATACCTCTACTTGGACCGGAGGAACATTTCTCTGAGCCTGACTCATGTCTAAAGCATTAGGGTCTTGACATGGTTGTGTTCATATCAGTAATACACATTGACATAGGACCTCATCCATTCCCCACAACTTAGTCATGCCCCTGGCCCTCTAGTCTTGGTAGTGGTGGTGATAGTGATGGGAGCTTAAATGTGTGATAAAACATCATATTAGGCATTTTTTTTTTTTTTTTTTAAGATTTATTTATTATGTATACAATGTTCTTCCTGCATGTGTGCCTGCATGCCAGAAGAGGGCACCAGATCTCATTATAGATGGTTGTGAGCCACAATGTGGTTGCTGGGAATTGAACTCAGAACCTTTAGAAGAGTAGCCAGTGCTCTTAACCTCTGAGCCATCTCTCCAGCTCCCCATATTAGGCATTTTATCTTTAACAAAACAACAACAACAAAAAACAACCAAAAAAATGAAAAAGATACTTTAAAGCCATGTAGAACCACCAACACTGTGCTATGTAGAGTCCAAGTTTCAGTTTGAGCTTTCGTTATAGATGTAATTGTTGGGTGAAATTGAGCTGACAGGTCCACAGGGCCTCTGTCTTTGTAACTTCCTGTGAATTTAATTGTTTACAAATAAAAATGTTTTCTAAAAAGTCTGATTTGTTAATAAACATAATAAATGTCAAATGCATTACGATAAATGAAAATAGCTACATTCATAAGGCTACATACACCATATGAGACCATGACTTGCCCGACGGGCAGAACTATAAACAGACATCTGGCTGGGCTTTGCGTTGGCCACAAAGGAACTGGCCAAGGAGGAACAATAGGTATATGTCTTGTATGATATTTTGTTCTCTATCCACTTGTGGGTTTTAAAGTGTCTCACAAATAGCACGTGAACTACAAAGTCAACAAAAAGGAAAGGAGGGCCAGGAAGGTGGCTCAGCAGGGAAAGGTGCTTGCTGCCACTCCTGACAGCCTGGTCCAATCATCAAACCCACCTGATGGAAGGAGGGCTGTAGATGAATTTCTAAATGGTCTTATTAAATAAAAAACACAGAGCCAGATGTAGGGGTGAAAGTCCGAGAGAGATCAGAGGAATAGGAACAGCCACATGCTAACCTTACCTCACCTTACACCTCAGTTTCCAAAAGTGAGATATGTCTACCCACGCCTATATGCCTTGCTGTTCTGCCATCTGATTTGCTCTTTCTGTCTAGCTACATCACTTTCTTTTCCTGCCCAGCTCTGTCACTTTCTGTCTGTACAGACCTCCAGACCTTCATGGTTAACTAGTGTTAGAATCTAAGGCATGTACCACCACGCCTGGCTGTTTCCAGTGTGGCCTTGAATTCACATAGATCTAGACAGATCCCTACCTCCCAAGTGATAGGATTAGAGGCATGTGCTAACATTGCATGACTTTTGTGTTTACTTATAATAGCTTGGGTTTTCTCTGATCTCCAGGCAAGCTTTATTTAGTAAAGCACAAATAAAATATCACCACAGAGGGCTCTGGCTCCATCTGTCCTCTGACCTCTACATATAGCATGGTACATAGTACCTGCAGATTTACATAGTTAATTAAGTCTTAAAAAAAAAAAGAAAGAAATCAGTATTCAAGTAGAAATGTATTTCCTAACAGTTTGCACTTTTTTTCTCTTCATTTTGGACAGATTTCATGTAGCTTGGGCTAGCTTCAAATGTTATAAGTCAAGGACAACCTTAACTTCTGATTTGCCTGCCTTTATCTCTTGAGTACTAAGATTACAGGAATCTCCATGCCTGATTTTATGCCATGCTAGGGGTTGAACCCAGGGTCTCATGCATGCTAGGCAAAGCACTCTACCAACTTAGCTGCACCTCTAGTTCAGATATTTGCATTTTGATGATTGAGAATTTTCCAGAAATGTTTCTGATAACTCTGTTGTTTTTTTTTTTCCCAGCAGGTGATGGTGTGAGTGAAGAAGACATACTCCGGGCAGCTGTAACCATGTCTTTAGAAACTGCTAAAGATAATTTGAAAGCAGAAAGGAAAAAATAATACCTTTCAAAATCATTTTGCTCCTCATCCTTTCTAACATTGTGTGAATACAGTATAAGGTCCACTTTGGCAGTGTGTTCACTGGAAGAGATAAGACACTTTAGTGGTTTATAAGCAAAGGATAAGAAAGCCAGAAACATGTCATAGGACTAAGTAATGATCCGGATGCTAGCCAAAGAGGCAGTCAGCAACTAAAGAAACTTAAGATAGTTTTCTAAATGTCCCTTTTTGTTTTTCAAGTGTGCAATATCTAACTGAAATTAGGGAGTTTTCTTGGCTCTTTGTGGACCAACTAACTAGCTCTTGCCATTGAACTTGATTTTGTATTGTTTTCATTTTCTCTCTTCATTGGAGGTGGCTTGGCTCACTTGAGCTTCTGTTTCATGTAATCTCTGGTTGTGGTTATTCTCCCACAACTCTAACATGGTAATCTGTTCTGAGGTTTGACTTTTTAAGCCCTCTCTAGTGGGATCATTGTTTGTTAACTTTGGTGCATTCCTATACTCTGAAGTCAGAGCTCTGCTCGAGTATTTGACTCTAAATGAGCTGGACATCTATAATCCTTCCTGCACCCTATTTCCTTTCTTTTCCAGTTGAGAAAGGGAGAAGCAAACACATTCCCCTCTTACTTAACATGCGGCCACCATGAATGTACTGCAGGAGAAACTTGGCCTTCAGTGTTGGTGTCGGATTTGTTTTAGTTTTTTTCTATTGTGACAGGAGCTTTATGTTCTAGTTACGATAAGTCCTGGAATATAGATGCCTGCTTCTTCTTCTTCTTCTTCTTCTTTTTTTTTTTTTTTTTTTTTTTTTAAGTGGAATATAGCCTGCTGGGATGGTGGTCTAGAATGTGAAAGTAATTTACTAATGAAAATATATAAATATACTGTGGGTTGACCCTTGCAATCATGTTTAAATTGTTTAAGAATTACAGAAGTCAGAGTGGCTCTGTCTGTAAATAAGAAAGCCCTTAGTTTTGATAAACATTGTTTAATTGGGATGCACAGTCTTTCTGGGTCAATACTTTGGTATGATTTGGGTGAAAATTCACTGTGTCTCATGGGTGTCATAGATCCTGATATCTGCTCTCCCTCCCTCCCTCTCTATCCCCTTTTGAATGTTGACTTGTACATAGGTAAAATCCAAGAAGAAATTTTAGCCAACAGTTTAGGAAGGTGAAGAATGGTATATCGCTCTATTGGTGTGTGTTCTGCACACGTTTTATCAGGGAAAGTTTTTGATGTAGGATTTATTGCTGTTGAACTGCAAAAAATACAAATATTTTTATTTATGATTATGAAGTAGTTTTTTCTTGGATAGGGCAGATTGTTTTGTTTTGTTTTGTTTTGCTAGAGATTGGACCCAGGGCCTCATGTGTGCTAGGCAGGTACTCTACCTCTGAGCTATATTCCCAGTTCCAAAACAGGTGAATTTTTTTCTTAATCATTTTGTGCCAATTAAAGTGGGGTTTTTTTTGAAGTTTGCTTTATGAAAAATTAGTCAGTCTTATTTTAAAATCTATGAAGTTTTCTTTAGTCATTGCAAAGGTTCAGAAGAATTGTGCAACTTTAGGGTGTTGGAGTTAGGACCTTTCTTACTATTCACAGATAAGTGTTAGAATGAAGTATGTAATACCCCAGTGTGCCAGTCACATTGTCTGGACATTGGCCCTTTCCTTTTCTCTTTGAAAAATCACATTAAACTTTCCATACAGTTTGATTGATGAGGTATCTGATAGAAAAATGAGAAAGCCAATATGCATTTCAATTTTAACTTTAGAGTTTATAAAACATTCATGTAACACACCCTAGTTAAATCACTTATGAAATACAGCATGTTGATCCTTTATTAGAGACATTTTGAAGAGAAACTGAGCATACACTGAATATCTGAGTGTATTTTTTTTTTTTTTTAGTTTGTTATGAATTGTTATATTTGGCAAGGCAAATCCAGACTCACTATTAACTGCCATCTCTTTCGGATTGACCTAGGCTTACCTGAACATTTAAATTTCATTATTAATGAGTAGCCAGTATGAAAAGATGCCAATGCTTATAACCACAGTATACAAAAGTGCAAAAGTTTTATGAATCTCTAGTTCATACACCAGGAGCTGCCTGTATATGTACAGCACTGCATGACAGTCAGGGGAAAGGAAATCCACGGTCACAGTTGTGCTGTGGACTTGACTGACATTTCCATTCTGTTTTTACCAATTGGGAGCACCTTAATGTTTAATATTTAAACTACTGGTATCTTTTTTTTCTAATGTGTAACTTACACACCAGATAAAATATGTACAGTTGTGATGCTAGTGTCATAAGCAAGTGTAAGAACACTTTGGAAGGCCAGGCATAGTGCTGCATGCCTTTAATCCCAGTTCTCAGGAGGCAGAGGCCAGCAGATCTCTTTGAGTTCAAGGCCAGCCTGGTCTATATAGTGAGTTCCAAACCTGCTAGAGCTGCACAGTGAGACCTTGTGTTTAAAAAAAAAGAAAAGAAAAAGAAAAAGAAAAAAAGAAACTTTGGAAAGACCACTTTCTTATTTTGGGATGTCATGAATATATTCATATTTTAAAAATCCAGAGTAGCTGCCGTCTGGCCCAAACCATAAATCAACAAAAACAAAAAAACAAGACAGCGATATGCAGACATTTCACTGATATAAATTGTTTGATACAGTAGTGCAGGTAAATTCTACACTTAACTTTTAAGACCTTGGCCAAATCATTTACAATTCACAGGCGTTATTTAAGGTGGTGCTTTATTTTCCCCTGCAAACTTGATTTTTCTTTATGAAGCCAAAGTTAATGAGGAAGAATGCTCAAATTGAGTAGCCTGAATTGTTTTATTTAATATCAAGTGGATTAAAGTAAGTTTTATTCATGTCAGAGTCTAAACCACACATTTTGAATACTTGCGTGTTTGGTACTATTTTTAAATCATGCCAGTGCCAGGAATTACTAAATTCTTAAAACTGTTCCCTGTGACCTGCACAAATCCAAATTGGGTAGTGCAGAACCAGACTTCTATCTGAAGGTCTTAAGCTGGGAAATCCTGATGTTTTAAATTAGTAAGAGGATTCAGATTCAGACCTTTGATTCCAGCTTTAAGTTCAGCAGCAAGGATGTGCTCAGTGGTAGAGCAGTTACCTAGTGACCCCAGTCTTGAGTTCAGTCCTTACCACTGCAAAGGAACAAAAGTTCAAAATGCAGTCTACATTTAGAGAGGCCTTAAGGGAATACTTTCAAAGTGAAGTGTCTGCTGTATTTTAGCTCTATGAAGTGCTAAATACATGTTACCTTAATTAAGAAAAAGCAGATTAGATTAATCAGTAGTGTGGATAATTTCTGTTTTTCATATTTAAAACAAAAACTCTCCCCTCATTCCTAATTTGTCATTAATAAGGTAAAGAAACAAACTTGTTTTGTATTTTTTCAAAGTGTTATACATAGTAAAAAGTTTTGTTTAGTCTTTCATGAATGAAAAGGATATTGACTTTTTTTTAATTTGAGGATTTTTTTTATTTCTATAATGGTCTGTCATTTTAAGAATTAGCACAAAATAATATACTCCCTAAATTTATGGAGGTTTAATAGTGCCAGCACACTTTTAAAACTGCAGTCATAGATAAGGTATTAGTGGAAAGTATGTGGGAAATGCAGTTATTTAGGGAATACTCACTTGTCTCTTGCATAGTTTAAAGGTGGTATGTTTCCTGGAATTTTTTTAATGATTTTTTTTTTTAAGAGGACAGCAGACATTTGAAATGTGATTATCTAATTTCTACAACACTGGACTAAATAGGAATAACTTTTTTTTTTTTAAATGACTGTTCTGTATAAATAAAATATTTGAAACTTAAGTGCAAAAGCCGTGAAATCAAAAGGCATTGTCTTCTGGCCAATACGATGCACTGTGGCAGTGCTGTTCGCTCAGGACCCACCTCTGCAGCCCTTCCTCGTGTGCCCGGTCTCCTAGAGTTACGGGCTGCCACTCCACAGGTCTTCCGTCTGTCTACGCCTTCGAAAGCTGGGCTTCCAAAGCACTGTTGAACACCGAGGGTTCTGTTGGTATGGATGTTAATGAGCTGTATTTTAAATATCAGAGATTATTAAATAAAGAGAATGATTGCTTTTCTATTAACCTTTCTGTGTTTATTGTTAGTTTTGTAGCCTTGCTATTCAATCTGTTGGGAGGCACAGCTGCATCTCCGTCCTGTGGGAGCTTTTCCTAAATGCAGTTTCAGGCCACTGTCAGGCCCACTATACCAGGACCTTGTAGCTGGAACGTGGAGAAGCTGTCTGTGGAGCTGCGTATTTTTATACAGCTGCAGTGATGCATGAAGCAGACCAGGGGAGCCCTCCCAGATTCCTGTCACAGAATACATTACCACCTGATCCCAGATACACAAGCCTTCCACAGTTTTCATTGTTTGAGACTGAAGCCAATGGCCTTTATACCTGTACCTCTCCTCAGATCTTTTCCAAGAACAGAATGCCACATTTTCCCTTGAAATCTGGTTTTAAATATTTGTTCAATTGTTCCTAACCTTGAGGGACAAAGCACATTAATAACTCATTTTTGTTAATTTGAGACATTTTCTATATAGCCTAAATGACTTGAAACATTTGGGATCTCCTACTTTGGGATCTGCTTTAGACTCCTGAGTGCTGCGTTTGCAGGTATGTGCTACTATGCCTGGCTAGCATTGTTTTCTCTTGAACATTCTCTACCCTGTGCCAGGGACCTGTGCCACCCTTTGTCTCTTGGGTCACCACAGAGAAAATCCACTCATGTAGCATTCAGTGAACAGTTTGTGTGCTTACTATTGAGCATGCATTGTTCTAGGTTCTTAGAAACAACCATGAGTAATACTACTCATTCAGAATATGAATGTTCTCAAGGCCTGTGAGAGAACTGTTTACTACACTACATGGCTCAGCAGCAATGAACAAAGTTGTATATAATCTGTTAGTTGCCTTTCTTGCCACTGTGACAAAATGCTCAACAAAAGACAACATAGGAATGACCAGTTTGGGCTCACAGTTTCTCAGGGGACAGGCCATCATGGCAGCTATCACATCTCCCATCTTGGCAGATCAAGAAACAAGACTAGACAGGTATTGAGGCTGGGCTGTAATCTTCCAAGTCCTGCCTCTAGTGCTGCAGCTAGGCCTCACCTCTTAAAGAGTTCCATAACCTCCGTAAACAGTACCACCATCTAGGGACAAAGTAGTCAAACAATACCCCAGAGGACATCTCACTCAAACCACACCATGTAAACATTGATGACTTCTCAGTAATTATGGTAACACTATTTAGAGTCCAGAAGGAAAGGGAATAGGGACATAAGAAATACAGAAACATCACATCTATTTTTCACAAAGGAAATGGGTAGTAAATAGTATTAATGAGAAAATGCTGGGAGTGGTGGCTCATGTCTTTAATCTTAGTCCTTGGGAGGCAGAGGCAGGTGCATCTTTATTATAGAGTTTGAGGCCAGCCTGGGCTAGGTAGCAAGTTCCAGGCAACCAGGCTACATAGTGAGATAGGGGTGGGGATGGCACAGCTAATAGTATTTTTCTGACTTAAGACTTACTGCTTGGAACCACTAAGGCATGGGGCTTCTCTCTGATGTGATGTGTTTAATTGTGCTGTGTTGGTCTGGCAACTTCCTGAATGATGATCAGGAACACTCAGGCTAACTATGGGGGTGTTTGGCAGGAAAGGGAAGAGTCATCTGTGATGATTAATCGTGGATGTCAGCTTGACTGCCTGGGAAGAGGGAACTTCAACTAAAGAATTGCCTCCATCAGAGTGGCTTGTGGCCATGTCTATGGGGTGTTTTTTTGTTTTTTGCTTTAATTGATACAGGAAGATCAGCCATTGTGGGTGGTACCATCCCTAGGCAGGTGGGCTTGTACTATAGAGGAAAGAGCTGGTCATGGGCCTGGGAGTAGCTGGTGAGCAGCCCTCCTCCATGATGTCTGCTCCAGTTCTTGCCTTCAGATTCCTGCCTCGAGTTCCTGCCCTGACTTTCCTCAGTGACAGATTGTAACCTGGGAGTTGTAAGATGAAATAAACCCTTTCCTCCGACTTGCTTTTGGCCATGGTGTTTTTTCACAGCAACAGAAAACCAAACTACAACAGCATTTTAAAGTCAAATGTTATCAAATGTTTCTTTTAAGCTTACTACAATAAAATTCAGATTATATATATAATTATATATATATATATATTTGTGTGTGTGTAAAAGCAAGATTAGTACAATGAACAGCTGTGTACTCAACCCAATTTCAATAATGACTGATGTCTGACAATATTTTATCATTTTGCTTTTTGAGACAGGGTCTCACCATCTTACTCTGGCTGGCTTTGAGCTTGCTATGTAGACCAGGCTGGCCTGGGGCTCATAGATCCACTTGCCTCCTGAATGCTGGTATTAAAGGCATAAACCACCATGCCTTGCCTCTGACAATTCTTTTTTTTTTTTTTTTTTTTTTTTGGAAAGCTTCACAAATTTGTGTGTTATCCTTTCACATGGGGCCATGCTCTCTGTATCATCCTAATTTTAGTATATGTGCTGCTGATGTAAACACTTTTTTTTGGTTTTGGTTTTTCAGGACAGGCTTTCTCTGTGTAGCCCTGGCTGTACTGGAATTCACTCTTTAGACCAGACTGGCCTCAAAATCACAAAGATCTGCCTGTCTCTGCCTTCTAAGTGCTAAGGTGTGTGCCACCACCACGTGGCTCTGACAATCTTTTTTAATGTATGTGTGTGCATGTTTGTGTGTGTGTGTGTGTGTGTGTGTGTGTGTGTGTGTGTGTAAGCCAGAAGACAACTTTGTCACCCTCAGAGAAGCCATACATTTCTTTGAGACCATGTCTCACTGACATAGAACTCACCAGTTAGGCTAGCCTGGCTGGCCAATAAGCCCCAGGGGTCTTCCTGTCTCTGCCCAGCATTGTGGCACACATATGTGCTACCATGCCTTATATTTTTTTATGTGGGGTCTGGTGATCAAACTCGGGTCCTCATGTCTGTGAAATAAGCACTTGCTTAACTGAGCCATTTCCAACCTGGTTTTTGACAATTCTTGTCTCATGTTCTCTCTGTCTCTTTGAAGCACATCCAAGATAGCATATCATGCTACTTATCAGGGTAATACGTTAGATCAGGGCACTCCTGTCTAAAGGACTTTGTATTCAGTTTTATCTTCCTGCCTGGTCTATTTTCCCCCATTTATCTGTGTCTCTAACTTACTTCAAGTCTCTATTCAAAATTACCTTATCGAGGCCTTAACCATTCTCTGTATTACCAGTGCTCCACTTACCATGTCATGCCCATATTGTCCTTACCCGTATTACTGTTGTTGTCCCTAATGGCAGTCATTACCACCTGTCTAACACTACATTTTGTCTAGGTGTGCCTTCCCATTGGGACACAATCTTTATAAGCTCACAGACCATTTATCTTCTCTTACACCCCTAGTGCCCAGAATAACAGCAGACACGCTAATCACTCGAGGACTGTGTATGCTACATTTAAAAGACGCACATGATGTAATTACATACTTGTAATTCCAGTACTCAGGAGGTAGAAGCAGAAGGTCATCAGTTCCAAGCCAACCTGGGTTACAGGAGCTCCTGTCTCAAAGGTTGAGGGTATAGCTAAGTCTATATGCATGGTGTGCTCAAGTCTCTGACTTTAATCCTCAGCACCAGAAATTCTCCATCAAATCAAGGTGAATGTGTAGCTCATCAACGCCACCACTACAATGTTCTGGTCTGTTTATTTTCTTGGTTTTGTGTTTTTTTTTTTTTTTTTCTCTCGATGCATTTTCTCTCCTTCCTTGCTACTACTATCATCATGTTTCTGTCCAATTCCTTGCTCTGGGACACAGAAGCTGAAAATCCCCTGAAGGCGCCCCTAAACCCAAATAGATATCCGGTAAGATTATTCAGATTCCAGGAAGAGATAATTCAGTATAGGGGTCATCAGATTCTACAAACTGGGTATATTCCCAATGTTCCTTTAACTACAGGGTAACTGGTTAAAAAAAAAAAAAAAAAAAAAAAAAAAAAAAAAAAAAAAGCCCGACAGTGGTGGCACACGCTTTTAATCCCAGCACTCGGGTGGTAGAGGCAGGTGGATCTAAGAGTTCCAGGACGGGCAATGCTACTCAGAGAAACCCTGTCAAGAAAAACCCAAAACAAACCAAAACCAAAAACGTGCTTCTGCTTGGACTCTTGAATTGCAGCCCGGTTTTGCAGCTTTGTAGCCTCGTTTCCAAGGCTCTGGCACGGAGCAGCCTCGCAGAGGCTGTTAAACAGAGTAATGTGGGTGTGTTGAGGTCGCTCTCCAGTGTGGTGGGTGGACCCTGTCGAATTGTTTCGCTGCAATGCAATAGCTCCTGTGGATAGAGTTAAGGAGACATCCCCCAAAGGTTGCCTCCGCCTATAAACAAATGCAGCTGCGCAGATGGCAAGCACCCGGCTGCTGCTTGCCTCTTAGGTCTACACCTCCACAAGCTTACCCGTCCAGCCGCCCACACGCAGTCCTCCTCAATCCCACAGTCCTTCGCGCCTAGGACGCATCTGTCAGCGGCCCTTCTACGCCATCGCGGAGCAGCTCTATGGTCGCTGCCGCTTTCCCGGCGGTGTCATGGCGGCCGGCGTTGAGTTGGCAGGACTGGCCCAGGAAACTGAGGAAAGTCACTAAAGCTGAGAAAGAAGTGTTCCAGTCGTACGGCGGGAAGTCGTGGGAGTGAGCAGAGGCCTCGTGGGGCCCACGGAGTCCACAGCGGCGAACCCTTGGTGAAGGGCCAGGCCGGGCCTCGGCTTTCTGACGCGGCTGTCGGTGGGAGTGCCGCGTCCTGCGAGTCCTCGGCGTCTGGATCGGCACCAGCCCCGGCGTTCAGGGACATTTGGAGCGGACGTTGTTCTCATCACCCGCAGCGATGTCGTCCTGGCTCGGGGGCCTCGGCTCCGGCTTGGGCCAGTCTCTGGGTCAAGTAGGGGGCAGCCTGGCTTCCCTCACTGGGCAGATTTCAAACTTCACGAAGGATATGTTGATGGAAGGCACGGAGGATGTGCCAGGTAACAGCTGGAGCGAGGCGGGAGGGCTCAGCTGGGACCCTGAGAAGTCCGCTTGGTTCCGGGCCGGTTGCCTATCCATAGGCAGGTGCGGACGGCGAAGGAGTCATTCCACACTTTTCCTTTGCCTCCGCAGTCGCTTTTCCAGCCTGCAGGACCACTGGCGGAGAGTTCTGGTTCTCGCCCTCCCCTTCCTCCCCCCATGAATACCCTGGGTAGCTCAGTGAAGGGGATCTGCTACTTTTACGCCGAATAGGATCTTAATTGGGCGGTTCATCCTATTTCTTACTTTGTCTTAGTTTGGGGGGCGGATCTGATTTTGATCCTGTTCCCTTATGACAGCTAAAATAATATGGTAATTATTTTTTTTCTTAAATACTCATAATTAAACATTTGGTGACCCTTGTCCTGTCTTTAGCACGTTGTTAGGGGAATAGGGCTGTTTATCTCTTCAACTGTTTTCTAATTTTGCTCATCATGAAGACACATTGAAGCTAAAAATATATTTTTGTGTACGATTGCACATTTCTCTCATATTTTGACAGGACCAATGAAATACTTTATCTTTTGAGTATTCTTATCTACTTCACTCACTTAAAATTTTTTTAGAAATTATTATTATTATTGGTGTGTGTGTGTGTGTGTGTGTGTGTGTGTGTGTGTGTGTGTGAGTTTGTGTATGGGCTTCTGTGACATAGCGCCCACGTGTGGAGAGGTCAGAAGACAACTTTGTGGAGTTGTTCTCTTCCCCACTTAGTTTGGGCATGTAACTCAGTTTATTAGGCTTATATGACAAGTGCCTTTATTGACTGATTCATCTAGCCAGCCTCCTTCAGCCATTTTTAAAGTCTTGCTGTCCTAATGAATAGTGACTTAAAATTGTTATCAGTGATTAGGTTAATTACTATTACTATTCTTGCCGTTTCTTTGAGTAGATGGTTTTTTTTTTTTTTTTTAAAGTTTGAATCAAGGGAGTGGTCAAATAATCCAGTGATTAAGAGTGCTGTCTGCTCTCTCTCAGAGGATGCAGGTTTGATTCTCAGCATCCAGTAGCAGCTCACAACTCTCTCTAACTTCATTCAGTTCCAGGGGATCCGATGTCCTCTTTGAGTCTTACCAGGCTCTGCGTGCACAAATGACCCACAGGCATATGTGCAGAGAAAACACCTGTACTCGTAATAATAAGACAATTTTAAAGTTCTAATCAAGGCTTGCTGTGCAGCTCAGGCTGACCTGGAGCTGAGAGTCTTCCTGCCTCTGCCTTTCAGTGCTGGCATTACAGGTGTGTACCACCACACTACAACAGTTTTATTTCTTTATAAATGAACAACTTACTGTTGTAGTTTACACTATGGGAAGGAATTACTAGAGATTGAACCCAGGGCCTCATGCATGGTAAGCACACTCTATTGAATTATACTCTGAACTCCCCAGTTTTTTCATCATGGTTTAAAGCCATGTGTAGTTGCTAGAAATAGAGTAAAATGGTTTGATAGAAAAAGTCCTTATATTTAGAAGGAAAACTGGGTTGCTGCCCAAACCCATGTTACTGCTTGGGCTTCCCTTGAGTGGAAGGTTCATGACCTGGGACAGTTAGAATGTAGTACAGATAGGGAATAACAGTATTTCTTTGACTTTAAACTGGAAAATAGGCACCCCAACCTGATGTAGAGTTTATTGTGTTTTTCTCACCAGAGAGCTTCTTGTAGTCTCAAAACCACAAACAAAACCCTACTTTTTGCTTGTTTGTTTGTTTTTGTTTTTCTCCTTTTGGAGACAAGGTCTTATTCTGTAGCCCACACTGTCATGGCACTTGTAGTATAGCCCAAGGCTGACCTCAGATAGCATTTCACCTGCCTCACCTTCATATAGTCTCAATTTTAGGTTTGTTTGATTTGTTTTTCTGAACCCTGTAGCCCTGGCAGGCCCAGAACTCACAGATCTGCCAGCAGGGCACTAGGATTACAGGTGTGCACCACCAAGCCTGATTTATAGTCTCAATTTTAGTGATTTGGCTAGCTGCTAATCTTCCTGACCTAGAAATCTTTATCATCTTTGTTTTGTGTCTTTTTTGTTCATCTACTTCAAATTGGCCACCAAATCTTGTTCATCCTGTGTCATAGTTTTCCTTTTTCTTTAAAACTGCTGCGCTAGCTCAGATTCTGCTTCTCCCAGGTTGACTCTCTTCAGGTCTGGTTCTTAATTCATTTTCTCTTGTACTGCCAGTGAGGAAGCTGTGGCTTGTTCTGCTTCTCTGATCTTCCAGCATTCACCCCAATAACTGGCACTGGGTTTGTTTATTGATAAGACTTTTTAAGATTCATGCTACATGCCAGTCTAAAAATAAATTTGCTTAAAAGTTTCTTGACTTACAGAAAAAAAAAAAAAAACCTTTTATTTTGGGGAGGTCAAAGACCTGTTCTCTCTGGATTCAAACTGTCTTTTCTAGTTGCCGTACCAGTTTCCGTACCTACTGTTGTATATAAACACGTGCAGTCTGCCA